CTCAAAGAACCAATACCACGGCTTACCGCATTGCAAATGGTAAATTGGTCTTTATTTGAAATAAAAGGCCAGAAAAGTCCCGATGAATCGAGTTGGATTAATGATCAGCGCTCACAGATTCCTTTGTAGCTGCACTGTTTGAGAGGTGACCGTGGAACGACCTGACCCCGCTCCCGACTCCAAACAGCTCCCAGGTGAAGCTGACACAAGCCATCGTGCCCAGACACACAGATAATCAGATCCACCCGGGTCACACCCAAAACCAAATTTCATGAAAAGCATTGTACAAATACACGGATCAGTACAGAGCAAACTCGTCACACGCGTGAACACGCACACTCTGCAGCTGTTTTGGTTTGCCAGGACATTTTTCCATCAGCTTCAAGGGGCGAGAGCTGCAGAACTTTGGCATGTTTTAAAGGTTTTGGTGGGTTTTGTTAGGCAAAATAAAAATGCAGCATAGCTCAAATGTTTCAAAGCAATCTAAGCATGGCAGGGTTTGTTTCATCAAAACGCCAAACATTTCCAACGTGATTTTGTCACGTTACACACTTCAATGGGAATCTTATGTAACGAATCTACAACATGCACAGTGCATAATTGCAAAGTGCAAAAATGATGTTTTATGGTCTCATAAATATTTTATATATGAACATTTTAAAACAAGAAACAGTTTAAGTGGGACTGGAGTCAAAACAAAAATACCTGCCACACTTTTGCAATTTATTGTGTGTAAAGAAAATAATATGTTTTAAAAGTAGTACATATGTTTCTAATGTACATTTATGTACTACTTTGTGCTGGTCTGTCACAGACAATCCAGAAAAAATGCAACATACATGTGTTGCTGACTAAATACTACAAAGTTGAAGAACTGTGAAATCTTTCGCTGGGCACTAAGTTGACGTTTCACTATTTGGTTTCAGTGGCGACACTCAGCACGCCAGTTTGTTCAGCTCAGCACAGGGTTAATTATATCCATCCCCGCTGCCTAGCAGAGAGACACACTTTTAGCACAGCAGTGATGCTGACAGCAAGCTCTGACTCTGAGTCACCTGTTTGGTTCAGCGAAGAGCTTCACTTCACTTCTGCCCAGCTCGGCTCAGACCAGAGAGCCACGGGAAAAAGACTTGTGAGGTTGTGACACACGGCTGCACACATGACAGCAGAGCCCAACAGGTCTGGGGCGAGAGGGAAGAGGTGCAATGAGTCATGCATGTAGTGGACGGCGGCCAGCGGCGGAAGGGATGGTGCTTTGCTTCTTTGAGGAGCTGCATGGTGTCAGCATTCAGTCAAAGAGGTGACTTTCCCCTGCAGCCACAGGTACAGAAGTCCTAATCTTTTACTGCGACTGCAAAATTTGAGTACATTTTATGAAAAACATATCACTTTTCCAGAAATATATTTCACCATAAAATCTTAATATTTCCAATACTTGGAACAAACATCTTTTGCCAACAGAACATCCATCTCTGAAAATATTTCACAAAGCTGGGACATACAGAGATAAAAGGTCTTTAATCAAATACATCATTTAGTAAAAGTCTCTCATAAATGACGGTGGTTGGAGTTTTCCTTGCAATCGGTGGATCGCCAGTTCGATCCCTGGTATATGAAAGGCATTATAAATGTCATTACTAAAAAAAGAAAAGAAACTAAAATATCACACCAGCATTCTATTCATTGTAAATTATTTTTGCGGTCTGGTTTACCGTTTTGCATCATATATATATAAACATCAGCAAAATTTGTCATTTTGGCTGATTAATATTGTTAATTTTAGGGTAACCAGTTGCTGGCAACATTATAATATTTTTCTTAGAATTTTACCATTACATAGATTTTTACGATAGATTACTGTTTTCTACATTGCATGAAATGTTGAAATGACTTGAAATATATGTTTATTGATATATTGTAATTCCATGTATTTTCTATCGTAATGAAGTTCTTGTTTATATTACTGTTCATATTTGACCACTTTTTAAATTTACAGACTTTTTTTTTTTACAGTGCAGTCTTAACCTCATGTAGCGTAAGCCAGCTATTTACATTTGATGAAAAGACTATTTTTGGCTTTTTTTTTTTTTTTTTTTTTTGCATTCCTTCAAACATTATCATGTAGCCAACATCTAATTCTCACAATGGAGACCTGAAAGCTACTAAATGCCTCAGTTCGCTTTGACGATTTTGCTGTCTTCTGTGGCAGCAAGACAAACTCAAGTGAACGTTCAGAAATGTTTCTAAGAGCTCCAGGTGCTTAAAGCATTTTAATCTAATGCTCTTGCTGTAGTCATGCAGTCATGTATGCATTTTGAAAATTGGCTTAGAAAGATAGATTTTTGCCTTACATCATGTTCACTCTCCAATGTCATTTTTAATCTTTTTTTGGAACAGGTGGTGTGGCATCAGGGATTCTGCATAAAACAATGTTTCCATTCAATAAATGTGCTCATATATTCATATGCTTTTTCTTTCTTAAAAAATAATCTGCAGCAGCCAATAAGAACTGGCCATCTCTGAGTCAAGACTGCTTTCAGATCAACCCGCCTCAAAAGCCCTTCTAACTGGTCTCTGTCCTTGTAAAACACAATCCTTACGCTCATCTTTTTAACATCCCCTTTAAAACCATAACTGAGGTCCTTTGTGCAACGACTGGCTCCGTTTAAGATCCGACACATCTGCTGAGGCTGCAACGCTTTGGCTTTTATTCTTTGGACAAGATGTTGAGCCAAAGGTTTGACCATCTGTGTTTTGTTTGCTTGAAATACACAGGTTGTCATGCTGACATGCAGGAGTTCTTTGAAGTTAAATGATTTAATGTGTTCAGAGAAATAGAAAAAAATCCATTATTCTTATCATGTCTCGAAGCAGACTGAAATATGCTGAGAGAGTACCTTGAAAGGTGGGTACCTTTTATCTCAATCCAAATGTGAGACATCATTTAGAGCGAGACACATCTGCTTCTTTCTGTTTTTCCTGCGTCTCTGATCCATAAGCCCTATGAGTGCAAGTAGGTTTTATTAAAATTCCTGCAGGTAAACAGCAGCTTTACAAATACAACTGGCTCAGCTAGGAAGAAAATGCAAAAGGAAATAACTCATCCTGGCATCCTGCATTCCAGCATCCCTCCTTTGGAGCAGGTGGATGCATCTTTGTATTCCTGCACATCATGACTTGATGTTCTAGGACTTTCTAGGTCAAATGCAAACTGGTCTTTGGATCTGTGTCAAGCATTTAGTGCTTCACACTGTCTGACAGAAACAGTGAAACGTTTTGTAGCTGGCCTCTCTGCGCACATGTGGACAACATGCTCCTTCTCGTCACTTCCACAAGGCCTCTGTCATAAAAAAAATGAACTCTGCATGATACCCGCTTTCCTCCTGCGCGAGTTTTGTCCATTTGTTTTGATCACTGTTTGTAACTGGGAGCATTTTCTATTCATTTTTTTGTTTAGAAACGAACAAACCTTCAACAAACATGGATGTTTATTGGTCATATGATACAGTTGTACTGCTACACTGCAAAATACAAACAAGTTTGTTCGTACAAGCACTGCTTGCAACCGTCTACGCAACCTACGGGCTTCGCTGCAGACTGATTCATGAGCTACGCCAAAGAGAATCCTCACAAACTCACGACAAATGAACATGTTGAAAGCTCAAATGCAAAAAAGAATACATAAATAAATAAAGTGAAAAAGGCATTTGCCCTATTGATGTCCACATCACTAAGTAAAGATTGAGCTCAATTTGCTGTTCACATCCTGACCCCTAGTGGTGCATTCCACCTCGTGCCGTTTGCTGTCTAATAAGATGACAGTTTCAGGTTTTGTGTTGAAAACATCGGCTATGTGCTGCAGGCAAACCGATAGAAACGGGCGAATACAGAAAACACTAAACATCATGTCAGCGACAAATACTTCCAAATTAATTCCAAAAAAAAAAAAAAAAGTTGCAAACATGACTCAAATCATTTGTTTTCACGTCCAAATTTTCAGACTCAAAGAATTAGTAAAACATTTCACCCTGTTCTGAACAAACTACAGCATTTTAACATCATTTTTCAGCTTCAGCTTCTTTATGTTCTGAGCCAAAGGACAACGGAGAAAGAAGAAAAAAAAAGATCAAATGTAGCTTTTAAAGGAACCTTTAGCGACAACCTGAGTTACATTTTATGAGATCCTGCAAATGTTTTACGATGCAATGGCAAAAAAAAAGTTTAAAAGAAATTGTAAGGATGCCCCCAAAAATTTTATGTATTATTAGTTTTTCATGGCAGTAACAGCAAAGGTTTATAATTATTGCACAAGTTATGTTTAAGTAACTTTTAATACTTGAGTAACATTAAGTATTGTTATATTTTGTCCATATCGATCAGTGGATTATTCACAACTAAATATATAATTTTCTCCAGCGGTTGCAATTTCTAAGACTCTTGTTTTGATAACCTCAGATTAAGCAGATTACATTAAATTAAACTGCCTGAGTTATAAACAATTAAAATCATAAGTGTTATAATTATAATTGTCATCATAATTGTTGATGCAATTTGTTCACATTTTCTAAAAGTAATTCACAACCGAGCAAAGCTTTAGCAGCCTCCTCAAACACACGTCTTGCAAACGTACAAGAGAATCCTGCAAAAATAATTTTAGGATGTGGTTAGTCTTTCTGGGATTTCGCAAAATAAATTTTGGTCTTACAAAAGTAACTTAGGACCTTGCATTTAATATGACCTCAAAAAAGTATCCAAACAGTTGTAAGATCCCCCAAAATGACTGTGGGATCTTGTGAAAAGTTTTACAAGGTGTCATGAGAGTAAATTGGAGTCTCGTGAAAGTTTTGCATGATCTTACAAATGTAATTCAGGGTCTGACGAAAGCAACTCATGATCATGCATTTTTAGAAAAATCTTGCAAAGTAACTTAGGGTCCCACAGAACATCTATGGAGATTTGCATAAATTAAACAGAACCTCAAAGATCTCTTTCAGGAACTCTTTCAGGAACTCACAAAACATTTGCAGAAGCTCCAAAAAGTGACTCCGTTTCTTGACAATCTTCAACATGAACTCACCAAAGTAACTTGGGATCTCGAAAGAGCAGGTGGAGATTTTCCAAAACCGTGGCAGTACAAAGCCAAAGCAACTAGGATCTCATAAAACATTTGCGTGATCTCACAGAACTTGGAGCCTCCCAAAACCTTTTTGTTTTTTGAAAAAGGATTTGCAAAATTCCAACAAGTATGACATCCTTGTCCATCTTTGACTTCAAATATAGACGGGACAATGTAGATGATGATGCATGAGGCTTCTTGTTGTTAAAATGGTACACAGTCTGGAAAACTGAGCAAAGTCCAACATTTGTTTCTGGCTTCTTATACACAAAACATCCAAACTCAAAATCCTGCCCATGTTTGCGTATCATATTAGAACTCAAACACTGAGGTTCAGCAGAAGGAGTGCTGGGACATTTCGAGCGTCCTAAAAAAGATGTGAAAAAATATCTCTATATTGTGCTCTCAAGTGTTACTAAGATTCCCCTCCATTTTGAAGGATGTGTACAACTGGACACTGGTGACTTAAATTAACCGTAATCCCTCACAAGGACATTGTTGCAACACCAAATTCCAACATGCACCAAGTCTCTGACTAAGTGTCTTTAAGTCCAAAATCACTGCCTGATGATAAACAGCAGTAATATCTGTAGCCTGAGGAGCGTACACTCCCCGCCATGACTCCATGTCTGTTCTGATGGCAAGCATCCCGCCCTTAGTGTTGCGGGATGAAACCAATGTCAGGCCTGTCGCCCAGAACCAGCGCGCTGCGGCTTAGCGTGGGCGAGGGAGAAGCCAGGCGGAAGGCCGGGTTGATCGAGTGCAGCGAGTCTCTCCTATTGCTTTTGCTGAAAGCGACAGGGGACAACAGGGGGCAGGGGTCAACCACAGCCTGGCGGGCGAGCTGCCGCGAGCAGCCGGAGGAGAGGGAAGGCTCTGCGGTTGCTGGGCCGCTGGAAACCTCCTGGACCAGAGGCGAGGTTTTGGGGTTCCCTGAAGGGCACAGGCCATGAAAGTCAGAGGAGTGGAGCATCCTCTCCAGCATGTCCTTCGTGCTCTGAGTGCACTGCGTGGAGAAAAATAAACAGGCAAGTTAAGAACAAAGGCAGACTTTGAACAGGGAAGTAATGATGTCAAGAGTTTGAATCAAGCAGGATTCATTTGGAAACCGTTTTCACAGTGAGAGCAATGAGACAAAGCCTCGCGGCAAGACTGCAAAAGGACGCACATGAAGAAGCAATGGAGGACGTGAATTGAAAGTATGGAGTGACATTAGAGGGCAACCATGCACAAACCATGACCCCAGAGAATTGGAAAGTCATCTAAACTGCAGAAATCTTTATCTTAAATCAGTGTCAATGTAACTATTTAAAAAGTTACATTGCATTTCTGCTGGACTTAGACAGAAATGCAATGTAACTATTTTTGTTTCAGTTTCTTCCGACCATCATCTTGAAGAGGCTTTAGGCAAATTTAATGTTAGGCTTTCAAAATATCTCTGGGACAGAAGGAAAGAACATACTGTATAACAAGTACCACTGTTTCTGAAACATAGAAATGAGATTCACCGGTGGCGATTGGAAGACATTGAAACTCTTTTGAGCTTGTAATGAATAGTTTAACAAAAACATACAATAAATAGATTCACTGGGTGGACACCTCTCAGTAAATTAAACCAAACTTAATTTATTTCAGTAATCAAATTCAAAGAGTGAAACAAAGTTATATATAAATATAAATTTATTGTGCAGTTTGGTTTTTGAAGGCTTTTTTCTGTTGTGTCTCATATCTGTATAAAGTTTTCCATGAAAGCCCTGCAGATCATCCTCAGTGTCTCCCTGAACTACATCAAACTCTTTTGTGAGATTTGCTTGTGCAGATGTGTCAACCAAACTTTTTTCTTCCACTCAACTTCCCATTACTATGCTTTGATACTATCAGAACGCCTACAATCAGCCTTCATTGGGATTCTGAACGTCACACTTCTACATCAAATTGTTTAGGCTTTTTATTGGTCCTAATATTTAAAGATTCCATTGGCTGTAAGCAACAATCATTATTTAGTAATAAATCCACATGTAAGGTAGATGTTTTAAAGTTTTATGAACTGTTCTATGATTTCTAGTTTATTGTGACGGACCAGTGATTTTAAGAATTCACATTCTAAAGTTTGAGATACTTGAAGTTAAGATTATCAAATTTAAGAGTTTTACTTTCGATCTTACAGAAATCTTGTGAATAAAGTGAGAATCTTCACTGGACTACAGAAAAATTTTGTTTGAAAAATGATAAAGCTGTAAACTTTAGGTTTAAAGCTACTGGAAGCTGAAACCTTCAACTCAAGAGCGCAAAACTCAACAGGATCCAGGAAAAAAAAAGTGACCTACATCTGTGCTCTGGAAGAGAAAAAGATATACAAGCAGGACATAAAATGGATCTGAGCACATCTCGGATCGATCGATGCGTTTTGTTGCCATGTCTTTGTTCAGATATTGGGGAGGGGAAAAAATCAAGCTGATTACTGAAGCAGCTAAAAAAATAAATAATTTTTCTTACAAGGTAGGATTCAAACTACATGTACAAACAGCTTTAAGGTTTGTTGCATTTTAGAAAACCTTGCTGGAGACATGGTTTGTGCTGATAAGCCGACCGAGCCGGTTGTTCTGGTTTGAAGAGTAGACGTGATCAGACATGCACAAGGGAGAGTTTCAATCGACTAGGTCATCAGCTGTAAGAGCAAGGTTGATCCTGCAGCGAGTGAGTGAGTGAGTGAGCAAACGTTAATGACGGCAAACATGATTGGCTGCGATGAAGCATGCAAACCCACATTTAGACAACCGTGAGTGATCCACACCATCAGCAGACACACCATCACAAAATCTGCACAGGCTGCATCTGGTACAGTTAGTAGTGCAGGAGGTAAGCGGTGCAGAGGAGCTGACGCAGTAAATGGAAAGTGATGAGATGTTGGAGTTGGCTCGACATTGACGCCCTACTCTTACCATCAACTGTCTACCTGCAGCACTGTCTAGCTTCAGGCTGTGCAGGACAAAGAAAATTCCTGACAGTTCTCCTCCTGGCAGGGTGGAACGGATACAGTACACAACACAGAGGGTGAGACTTGTCATGTCTTACACAGTTACAGTCATGGTAAAAAATAAATAAAAGAAAAAAAGAAAGAAAGTACACCCTCTGTCAGTTCAAGTGGTCAAAATACACTTTGTGTAAATTTTGTATACGAAACTACTGAATTACAGAATGCACTGTCAATGTTAACCGTAAGATGAAGGAAGGCACAATGGAAAAGTTTGTGAAAAATACGTACGCCCAAGTAACCCTAAAATGTTGAGTTCAAGTCAGAAGTTTGCATGCATTCATTTGATTGAAATCCACATTTATTTAGGGAACGATGCAGATTTCTAAACACAAATCTTAAATTAAGTTTAAATTTAATGCTAATTTGTTTTTCTAAGCCACCTGCGTGCAAATTCATACACTTAACTACATTGCACTCAAATAGACTTGTAGAGTTAAAATGTGTTCTGCCACAGATCCAGCCTTAAGGGGCTGTTAATATATTTTCTAAGTTTTGTCCTCTTTGTACATTACTAAAATAGTTTTGGTGCGTTTAGGATCGCTGTGTCCAGAGTTCAACCATGTGGCCCAAACTCCGACCCACAGAATGACATCATGATCGATTGAGATGTTGACCAAACACGGAGACTGCTCCAAAACCGACACCTTCCGGTATTCAGCAGCTGCCCACATGGAGGATCTGAAAGTCTTCAGGAGAATTTTGAAGTTTACACGAGACAAAAACGATGAGTTGAGATGACGCTTTCAAGCTAATGAGTAACATGAGCTCAAACACAAATTAAAATTGGTTTTGGAGCGAATAAGACAGGCGAACATCAAGTTTAAAATGGCTCCATTTTAAGCCATACTGACAAAGTGTGCGTCAGTGTCAGGAAAACTATATGAACTTTGCCCTTTCTGATAACTGGCCCAGTCAAAGTTTGTTCTTACCCTGATGTCTGCAAACAGACACTTATCTACAAATCAGTGGGGTTGTGAGTACATATCTGAGTCTGTGTGCATAGTTTTAATCATCTTTGGAATAACAAATTATTCCCCTTTGGGGAACATAAAGCCTTATTAGAAGTAGGGGTAAAAAAAAAAAGAAAGAAAGAAAGAAAGAAAACCTGACATCTTAAATATTTCCTCAATCATCTGTCATTGTGAGCATTGAAATAAGATCTAGATCAGGCAAAGACAGAAAGGCCATCTAAAGACCCTATAAATGTTAATAAATTCAAGCAGATCCTGAGATATAATATTCTGCTAAATATTATATCCAAGCAGTTCATTGCAATTGGAATTTTGGACAACGTTGCATGAAGTGATGATTCAACATATGGACACCATTTAGAAATCCTACAAACATTGAGAAATGTAAGCTAATAATGAGTGAAAGTAAACTTCTGATTCAAACTGTACAACATACAGAAAAACACAATTTGAAAAACGGTATATTTTCTTTCTTTTTTTTTACCATAACTCTAAAGGCATACAAATATGTATCTGAATCGGTTTTGGAGAGCAGACTCCTGATGAAAGCTTAAAAACAGCTTCAAGTGCAAAATGTTCAAAAACAAGACTAAACTCAAAGCAGACCAAAACTCAAAATACAAAAATAACATTTATTTAACAAATAAAAGAACTCATTTTTATGAACATGACGATAAAAATAAAGCAATGGACAAAGCAAATAAAACATTTGTTATGCTGAAAATACTCAGAGAAATTCACTTCATGCATACGAGTAATGATTCCTAATAAAGTGCTGATAACCCAACAGATGTCCACTTTAAGGCCCTGATAATGAAAACTGGCAGAATATTCCTATCAAAACATGCAAAAATAAAGTCAGTAGTTTAATAACATGGAGCATGGCGGAGAAACATGTTCATTAAGGCAAATAAATAATAATAAAAAAACTTAAAGGGAAATAAGGCGTTTATTGTTAACATAGTTGCTGCAGTCTGACGTTCAGCCAGCTCAACTTTAATATTAAATGATTTCAGTCTCGGTTGTAAAAAGTCAAACTAAAACGTTCTCTGCTCACGTCCAGCTGCACTAATCCGATCGCCTCTACTTTGAAAACTTGAACCTTGACCAGAGTTATTTCAACCGAACTCTGGTGAAGTTTTGTTGAGATGCTCATTTTTCAACAACAGAAAGGGAAAAAAAAAATCTCTTACACATAAACACAATTGTGGTGCAAAGTTCTTAACAACGGCAGAAATGTAACTCCTGGTGGTCGACGCTAATCGAAGGACTGACGCTGGAGGTCTGGAGGCTGACGGAGGGAGGCACAAAGGGTGGGAGGGGCTAACAACCACACAGCAACATGGGGGGCATTCAGGACCGGGGAGGGACAGCAAGCGCTTTCATCATACCATGTTCGCATCGCTCTTGGGCGTGAAGGGAGGCAGCTCCATCTCTGAGGCCGCAGCGGCGGGGATCGCCTCATCGGGAGGGAGGAACCCTCTTCGATCAATCAGGCTGGAAACAAAGCAGGCCGTGACGCGTGGTTCGAACAAGAAGAGGGACTGAAAACATGACGAATAATCACGCACCTGGGAGGCATTGGGCCGCATAATGTAACACAGCAGTTGGTTATGATGTTGCTATAAGTGTAGGGGTTTCCAGACTCCTCTGCTCCCCGTTTACCCGACCACGACCCCTTGATCTGTTGATCAGCACACCGATCAGCAGGCAGCTCATGACAGAAGTAATAAACACTAACCCAGCCCAGCTCTGTCATTTCACACTCTAAATACTCACGTCTTCATTCGTGGTGAGATTGGAGGCTACTAAGTAGGTGTGGAAGCCTGAGAGGCCCAAAATAGACCAGATGGAGAAAAAGCAAATCACCAATTCCACCACAGTGCACAGGTAGGAGTCAAGGCAAAATATTAACATCCATGGCACCAGTCACATAGGGTGAGTATTATATCTCACACTTATCACAACACAAGCTGGGATAAGACTTTCATCAAGGAAGCTCATCAGCTTTTACACAGATTAATGTTAATAAATAAGAATTTCATTAAAAAGTTCATTTCAGGAACATAAATTAGGACAACATATAGGATTCACTTTCTGAATTGAATTACTGGAATAAAAAAGTGAAATAATATCATGTAATTCTTTAATCAGATAAATACTCATATTGAAAAGGCAAGCAGACCAACAAACTCACCCTACTTGCAGCAGGTAAAATAATCAAAACTGAATCTTAATTATCTGAATATATATATTTTTTTCCACTGAAATCATCTCAGCCATAAAACAGCATATCTGTTGAAAAGCACTTTTGCTTTACTACAGCATAAATGCTGAAGTAAATGCCAAATTGGCACTGGATTTAGCCAGATCTGACTCAGCCCTGTAACATTTTAAAAATAACAAACAAAGACTATACAAAGGATATCTTGCAGGACTCTCCTGAATGGCTTGAACAATGCCTTTCCCTGCTTGAGAACCTGTAAAGAAAATAAAAATACATCTGAAAACTTATCTTGGCTCATGACAAATGATCCATCTCCTTTCCGTTTAAGTGATGCAGCCACTTACGGAGGGTGATATGTGTGATGACACAGCCGAATATAAAAGATGTCAGAAAAGACAGAGAGATGATGAAGCTGTAGAAATAGCGGTAGTTGCGTTTTCCGACACAGTTCCCCACCCATGGGCAGTGGTGATCAAATCGCTCTGAAGGAACAGAAAAATGGCAAACATGTCAAATATCGGCAGCGTCACAGCAGCTTGTAAAGAGATCAACAAAAAGGAAAATGCTGGGAAGATGATGGTTAAATGAACCATCATCTGGAAATCATGCTAATTGTGACTTTTTTTAGTGTGGAAGTTGTTACTGAGGAAAAAAGAAATTTTAAGCATCAGTAAGGTATCCAAGAAATCACAAAAAGTACAAAATGCAGAACAAACATCTAAAAGGAAATTATTTTCCACAGAAGCATTCCAACTGATCATTAATGCTACCAATACATTCCAATGAAGACAAATATATTACAGGAAAGTTGCTCTATTTGATTCTGTTAAGAACCATCAGATCTTCATAAGAACAAATAATGGTTTTGGGGAAGTCAGTCGTTTTGGGAATCTCACAGTGAATGGAGGGTCCACATTAATTAGAGTCTGATCTCTCTGTGCCCAATAGAGGTTTTTTATTTTTTTTTTTACCATTATCGTTGCTCATACAAATCTAAGACTTTGTAAGTTTGTTTTCTTTGCTTTAAATGGTAAAATCTTATCTGACTGTAGAGTTGTGTAGCGGACTTGTCTCTCTCACATATGCATGTTACCGATTAATCATTGATCAAAGGACAGTTGTTCTGTGTAGATGAGTGATTGAACAATGCAACAGAAGAAGAAAAACTGATCTTCTGGAATAATTTGGACTAGCTTCTGTATTATCACACTAATACAATGAGAGCTCTATAATACGCTCCTTTTTTTTTAGGAAAATCTTTTTTATTTTACAAACTAGTTATTGTGAACACGCTTACATTTTCAATTGATCCAGACAGAAAAATAAATGTTGCTTTTTGTTACTTACAGTTTACAAGAAAAATCAGAGTTTTGAACCCACAACTTTGCAAATCAGAAAACTGAAATCCAGCAACAAAACAATCCATGAGTGAATCACTAATCACTAGATGGTCGCTGATAGCACACAGTGGGATAGAAAATGTCAGCAGTTAAAGAGTCGAGTCTTGTGATGAGCAGGGCCGGTGGGGTTTTGCTGTACACAACACAGGACACAGTCACTTCCTGTTACTTGGTCACATTAAAAAAGAAAATCAGTTTGCGAAATACACAGCTAAAATTTCCCGACACTGCTGGGGAAGTGACCTCAACATCAGTTCTCTTCAAAGCAAATAATTGACAGCAACAGGGATGACTTGGATTTTATGAGTGTGATTAAACCAATTTCATTCTGATAAAAACATACTTTTCAATAATAGCCATAGACTTTAGGCAACAAGTGAGTTTGTTTGCTTTTAGGAAAAAGCAAAAGAATAAACGGTGATCCCCCAAAACTATTCTCACCAACACAGTTGTCACACAGACTGCAGTGGGAGGTCCGCGGAGGCCGGAACATCTTGCAAGTGAAGCAGTACTTGAGCTTTACCACCTGCTGGTTGATGAGGATCTCCTTGGTTCGAGGAGGCGGGCGATATGTTGAGGAACCTGAGGTATCTGTGAGTAAAAGATGTGACATTTTAACACCTGTCAGATCAAAGTGTGTGCAGCAATGAGCTCCTCCTGCCATGACATGGCGCAGTAAGCTGCTTAGGTCTTGGTCTGTGTTTCCTCCATATGGCAAAGCTCTTTTGCTCCATCTGCCCCACTGTGTTCAAGCGGGGGTCTTACCTATCTGTCTCTCTATGTCTGCAGCTTCGTCTGCCGTGGCTCTGGGTAAAATGCCTGGATCTGTAAAGCTGGTTCTGAGCAGGGAGGCGACCACAAACAAGAAGAGCACCCCTCCTATCACAGGTATACAGACGGTCAGATGCTCCACCAGGAAGGGGCAACTGTTGGAAATAAAACAAGTTTTATTTCAATAAGACTAAAAAAGGAAAAAAAAAACAATTTCTCGTGTTTTATTTGTAGTCGCAGAGCAGTCTGCAAGTTACTCACTCGAAAGCAAAGAAAAGGCCACTAGTGACAACAATAAGGCCCAGAGTTAGAGGAAGGACGCCGTTCTGTCTGGCCAGTATGAGCCGTCCGTCGCAGAAAAATCGGTTCTTTCCCGGGAAAGCTTCCCACTTTCTCCGCGGGCGCTGCACCTTCTTCTCGGCGGGGTTTTGAGCCGACAACGGCGAAACGGAGAGCGCCCGTGGGTCGATCTGCTGGTACTCGCAGTTCTTCATCGTCTACGCGGTTCGGAGGTAGCAAAAAAGGCACCGAAAGCCCTCCTTCACACTCAGGAGACGCTTCTCTCAAGATTCATTGACAGGACACTTATTTGTTCCTCCTGATAGCACTCAGCCGTCCATCCTGAAGCTAAGTCCAGCTAGCTAGCGTAGCAACAAAGGCATTCTTCTTCGTCGGTCAGTTTTACCAGTTGAATGTATTCACGGGCTGACGACGAACAAACCGACATGTTTTGTTGTCAAATTAAATCCGTGTACAAATGTCGGCGGAACATTTTGTAAAGCAAACGCAAATTTAATGTAGACAGAGACGGTAGGTCAGGTTAACTGGACTGGTTCTCCTTTTTCCTTTACTACCAGCCGACGTACGTCATAGTGAGCATAGACACCGGAAAGTAGACGCAGCAGGAGCGTCAGGGTTGTACGATAACGTCGCCGCCATATTTTGAGTGGCATATCTATACATTGGTCGGAAAGGGCTACATTGTTAAAGCTGGCTGACCGTACGAGACTGTTTTTTTTCCTAATGGACCAATAGAAGGCAGCGCATAAGGCAGCGCATATTTGTCGCTGTAAGATGGCCCATCTGGCCCACTTTATTTTTGCAGCCTGTAAAACGCTTTCTTGCAGAACTTGCATGTATGCAACTCCACCTATCCACCAACATTGCTATGGTTCAGAATGAGGGTGATGTTTGTTTATTATTATTATTATTATTATTTGACTAAGGTCTGATTTTGCTCGCATTTCACTAAAACACTTTTTCCATACGTTTGCCATGTCCCCATAGATTACGGTAAACTGTAAAACGGGACTTCTCAAGTAAGGCTGAACTAAACAATTGTATTTAATCAGGTTTAAATATATCCAGGTGGAATGTTTACTAATTAATGACGGGATTTTATGTAGGAATATGCAAGTAAACATAAATGCACTATAGTCCTCTGTTTATAAGTAGAAAAAATTCAGTCTCTCTCCTCCTCCCCATTTTTTTACTACCTATTTAGGATTATATTTTACATATAATACCAATAAAATTCATGGAAGTTATGGAATATATTTTTCCTATCATATTTAGATTTTCAAACTGTTCATTTCGGCTCGATTATCCCCTCCATTTTTCTTCAAAACAACTAAAACATGCATTTTCCTGCCTATCTAGAACCTTCCGCTCGTGACATAAGGTGAGCGTCTAACTCTTTTATATCTATGGCGGCGAGAACGTGAAAATGACGCACGCACTACGTTCAATTTTAAGGACGACAGTAGAATGGAAAGAGGGGGACGGGGAATCAACAAACTCCGGGTCGGCCTGTGAACGTTGAGTTAACTTACTCCGAGTGCAGAAACCCAGGCTCTTCGGGTGTCAGAACCGCTGGTTTCCATGAGTTCAGTGGACTCGGAGTTGGTTCGCCCGGAAGCGAGCGCGCGCACCAGCGCCATTCAAAGCCTCCGCGCGGACGCTTTCGGCGAACACACCGACTGCAGCAGCTCCAAAAAGAGGTCGAGTTATTTCACGCCGCGAGAGCAGAGGGTCCTCCTGCAGGCGTATGAAGAGCATGCACACATATTTAGCAAAAAGAGCAACAAGGCAGCAGAAGCTAAAGCGAGGCAGGCTGCATGGAAGAGCATTGCTGCCCGAGTCAATGCGTGAGTTTTGAACGCACCACGCCGTTAAAAGAATTTGGTAGATAAAAAAAGGAGAAAAAAAGTGGTGTATTGGATGAAATTTGGTTTTCATTTAGGTGTAACTCAGGGGAAAGACGGACTTGGATGCAACTGAAAATGAAGTATAAAAATATGATTCAGAAAGGTAAGACATGAATACCTGTGGCAATAACTCAGCAGTTAATTCAACATGTAAAATAGACTAACTTTTTCCCTCATTATAATACTTACCATGCAGTGACTTGCAGAAGTAGCATTTTCTCAATGTGTTTTATTGGGATTGTGAAATGAAAGAAAAGTGATTCAGGGTTTCATAAATAAATAAAAAATCTCAAAAGTGCTGTGTGAATTTCTGTTCTCAATTTCCTTTAAACAATAAATAAAATCCAGTGCAACAATTGACCCTCGGAGGCCTGCTAATTGTTAAGAGTCCATCTGTGTGGTTTGATCTCAGAGTGAAGGGAGACTTAAAAAATAGTTAGTTTGCAAAGAAGTACGAAACAATTGAATTAATCATGATTGATCACTTATTTCAGTTGATAACTGAAATAGTTGCCAACTATAAAATTCGATTAATTGTTAACCGGGGAACACAAACTTAAAACGGGTCATTTGCTTAAAGAACAACATATTCAGTTAAGTAATTCATCCGGTACCTTGTGCTGTCCAATGATCAGAAAATAATCAATAGGTTCATTTTTAGCTTCAGATGCATCTTTTCCTACAAATGATCAAGTCTATACTAAAGGACTGCTGTTATTGCATTTTAGGCTATAAAATTATCTTCTTATCCTAAAAGGTAATGGAATTATGTGCATTGTTTAATGTATTTCTAATACATCATAATAAGTGATAAAATAATTGATAAATAAAATAACCGTTATTTTTAGCCCTTCAAAGAAGAATTGGGAAAAAAAGATTCAATGTCTGAATTAAAGCCATGTTTTGATTTGTACAAGAAAAAAAAACTTAACTGTGGACAATTTTCTTTCCGTTTCACAATTATGCACTACTTAGTTATTTATAAGGCTGATTAAATACCCAAAATGTTGTGGTTATGCAGCAGAATGTAAAAAAGATGCATGCATACTTTTGTAATGCTCTTTAACATCCTGTTAGAATTTGACACAATTTTAAAACAGGACATATTTATGTTGGAGCCATTCATTTGCAGATACTTGAATATTTTTTTAAAACGATTCACTCTGAGCTGTGTTCAGCTAACAGAAAACGGGCTGCGGCCCAGAATATCGACAGTGAGCTACTAATCCCACCCCTGACGGAGGCGGAGGGGCTGGCCATCAGCCAGAGCCCCCCCAGACCCAATTCCGAAGGCATCTCTGCAGACAGCTCACCTGAACCGGGGGCCAACCAAGACTCGGGTACTTATGTCAGAGGTAAGACCACACAACCACATACATGCAGCTAAATGTGGTGATTCATCCACCTTTTTCTTCCCAACAGTTACAGATGGTGTTTACGTTGTTGAGCCTTCAGCCACTGCAACAGGGGAAGAGCCTGCAGTCGTAAGTACACTAAACCCTGATTTGGCTTCATGAGGTTAAAGGTTACTGAAACATGATTTCTTCCTCACATCACAGGAGGATGTTCTGTCTGCTGCCACCAAGAAGGAAGCTGAGATTCATACTGAAGTAGATACTAGTGTTCTTTCTAGTCACCACCATCGGTAGATTCTTTTGCAACTCGTACATTGTTGTCCGTTGACAGAGAAAGGCTGGCCACAACCAGGACGGGGTTCGTCCGACCTCCACGGCACGGCTCGACACAGTGGGTTTTCAACAGCAAATGTTTATTCTGCATGAAAAGCTGTGAAAAATTAATATCCATCAATTTTTTTCTTAGTTACCAGTAGCAGAGTTATATAGGCATCATCTCCTTAAGACTATTGAGAAAACGGATAAAGAAATCACGTATTTGGACCGCCAGATCAAGAAAGCGGACCTGGAAATTCTCATACTGGAGCGCCAGTTGAGGTGGGTGCATTTCCTTCACAGGTCAAACATATTAATTGTTGGAACACCATTAAAAATCCTAATATTAGTATTTTTCTTCCAGGGAATAAAGAAGACTGAATTATTTATTTTTTTGGTGGAGAGACTCGTTAGGAGACTAACTGCGAAAGATCTGGGATGTCTTCAAGGAGTTGCAGAGAAGTCATGCTACAGTAGTGTCACATGATGCATTAGTGGCCAGATTGACCTTAGAGTGGAACTGGAACAAGAATCTAGGAGCTGGACATCTGAACCTAAAGTCCTAGCTCATGGCTGGGGGTAGTGGACTGCCCTCTGCCCCACCTGTAGCTGGTATTTATGAAATCATTTTATGAATACATTTGAGCACAGAGAGGTGGGAATAACATGCAGAGCTTTAGGTTTAATAGTACATCCAAATGTGGAGCTCACATTATACATGTGAATTGTTTAGTGTGATTTGTACTATTAGTTAAAACCATATTACATACTCAATAGTGGCATTACTAGGCACTATAATGCAGAAAAACAAGAGTGCTTTTTATACAAGGGCTTTTATTGGTCAATTTAGCCAAGTTCTGAGAGGTTAAAATAAATTAAGTTTTGCAAAAAGCCTCCAAATGTCACTTCATCATGCATCTTACAGGTTAAACTCAAGGGTGACCAAATATTGAGCTCATTTGTAAGAAATGGTTTAATTACCTCAAAGCCAACTTGCCAGTGCCACCTTTGCTAAATATTATTTTATTAACACATTTCAAAGATTTTCATCAGTGGCTCAAAAAGTTAAAATTCAAAGAGAAAAAAAATATAAGCCGAGAAAATTTTAACCAAGCTTTTATTTTTGACATCAGTTTTTAAAAAAAGCTGTTATGATTGAGTATTTGATTTAAACGTGCAGAACCTGTGAGGGAAGATGAAATTATTTGGATTCTGATGCAAGTTTCAGTAATAATGCTCTCAAGTAGAACCATGCAACCACTATACTACAATGTGCAATAGTGCAAATCGAGCACAAAATATATGGATATTTTTTTTGTAATCTCGGAGCATCTCAAACTGGGTGACAACATGAGAAAAATTTTCAACTTTGTCCTATAGATATTTTGTTTTCTTTTAATCAGACGTTCATAAAAATATTTCTTTTATGTGTCCATTTTTTCCAAGGCAAACTACCATCATCATTTAATATTGAAAAGTTAAAAAGACTGATATGCCCCAGCAACCCTCATAAATAAGTGTATTTACATGCCAGTTCTACACAGAAATATTCCATTTTGTCTTCACACTAGTGTATTAAATCAAGTCCAAGGCAAGAAATTGCAATGCAAAGCAAGGCCCAGTATCCAGTACGAGAAGAAATAACCCAGAATGCTCTGAGTGGTGGGAGAGCAGGATTTAAAATGTGGCAGCAGTGCCAGGATCGGGTTCTGAGGTGTGTGCATGAAGCTGTTTTTGGGATCAGTCTGCAACTGCACATTTGGGTTGGAGGTCTTCCTTCGGTGAAGAAGCGGCTCGTTGAGGAGGAGGAGGTGAGCGCTTATCCAGAAGGGCACCGGAGATGAGGAGGCCATGAATCTGGTGAGAACCTGAAAAAACCCATGAAAAAAAAAATTGGCATTACAAATATTCCCTCAGATTGCAAAAAGAAACAAGAAGTTATGATTTTCTCACCTGCACATGCATGCACAGGGTTCCAAATACGAGGAGCACAGTTGAGTGAACGACATACACAAAGGCTTTGGGGTTGAAAAAGCCCGGCGTTGGTTTCTCCAGCCCCGTCCCCCAAAGTCCGAGCCTCAAACATAGCTCTGGGTTAGCCTGAAAATATGCATAGGCGGCCATAATGGCGAGCGTAGCCATGGGCATAGCCAGAATAAAATTTGGTATCTGCTTCAGCTCAAAGTAACGGAGGAAGCCCACGTCCCAGTACACGTCCTGAATGTGCGAATAAAGCAAAGGGAGAGGTCTCATGCACCAGAGTGGCGGTGGACCGTTTTCGTCTGGCACCCGGTAGCCCCTCTGCTCCCCCAGGGTCAACAGGGCCGGATGGATCTGCTCCAGCGAGGTGGACGGTGTACAAAACGTCCTGTAGCCGTAGTACTGGAAAGCACAGAAGGGGAGCGCAATGACTGCAGTACCAAAGAGGGATGTGAGCAGGAGACGGAGGATGACCCAGATATAGTGCAGGACTTTACTGCGCCCTTTAGTTGTTGCCCGATACACACGAATCTGTGAAATGGCATTCAGTGATGGAAGATACAGAAGAAAGCCTATATTAACCAGTCCATTGGACCGCGCTGCAGTGGCGATGCTAAGGGCCAGGCAGGCTCTGAGTGTGAAGCCTTTCTCCAGGAGGAACAGACCACCGAACGTGAGAGCAGCAAACAGGCTCTCCGAGTATCCAGCCGTCATGAACACATTGGCGGGCGTAAAGCAGTACAGCAGGCTGGAGAGCAGAGCGAGGCGTCTGTCCTGAAGAACCGCTCTGCTGAGGGCATACAGGGCAACCACACTCAACAGGAAGAGGGCGCTGTTCCCCAGAGCAACAGCCAGAATCAACCGGCCCCTCACACTGAGCCAACTGCTGAGGGGCCACAGCAGAGTCTCAGCGAGGCCCCGCAAAACGATGGGGAAAAGTGGGAAAAAGGCAAAGTTGTGCTCATAGAGGTATCCTCTCTCTGCAATGAAGAGAAAATGCTCAGCATCCCAGTGAGCGAGGCCACCAAACAACCAGTCCACCACGGGGTCCAGGTACAAGGGCTCTTCTGTCCGAGGGGGCCTGAAGGCATCGGCTTCATGGTCAGGGATGGCAGCGTTCAGGACAGCCTGAAGAGCAATAGATCCACTTTGTTACTCTATGTACAGCCAAACACTAATCACAAGTCGTCCATGACAGTTTTTGATTGAGAAGCATGGTTCACCACCCAGGGCGTTATCAGGTCAGGGGATGGCATGTTTCAATGTCGGTTGTGTATCACGTTTATTTTTATTTTTTCTTGTAGCCCATTTAATACAGAAGAGATTCCCTAAGCAAGCGCCCACTACTTTTCTAAATTTTAAATCCTCTAAACTCGCTAAAAATAAAATCATACATATGTCGTTTACATAGCAGACCGGCTTCTTCCCAGATTTTATTGAATTTGGACTAGATGAGCTCTAGTTCAAGCTGATGAAACCTGTGTGAGGTCATTCAGAACTCAAAAAGGATTGAACCTTACCTGCAAAACCAGAGAGAGACCTCTGGTAACTGTGGCGAACTCTACCACTGCTTTGACATCCATAGTCATTGATGAAATGGACCAACTGTGGGCAAACCGGTTCCGACAGCCATCCGCACTGCTACAAACCATTCACCGTTCCCGTGTTGACCATGAGACATCACTGAGCAGTGTCCGCCAAATAACCCAGTTATAGGTTTTCACTATTTAACCCACCAAAACATATGGTCGGAACAAGTCCCACCATTTCGACATGCATGTAGGACATCTAATTGTTTGTCGCTTAGCTATAAATCTTTGTCCTCACACTGCAGCAGGATGCCTCTTTTCCAGAGGCATTGTAACTTCCGGCACGCAATAGAACTTCAAAATAAAAGATTAAGAGCTGTTTCACGAGTGTCCGCTCGGCGGAGTCGATCTCGGTGTCCATCACTCAGTTATTCTTCTAATTTATCGCTTTCAAATACCAGACTTAAAAGCAAATGATGTTAATAATATGGCTAACTGTAATCAAAAGACGGACCAGAAGAAAAAACTCACGGTTTTTGTCCCTTTTTGTGTTTGCGTCATCTGAATAACGTGCTGTGCGTGAACCGGAAGAGAATCACGCTGTGTGTCACACAAAGGGATTTCTGAAAGCGCCAGTTTTCCTACATCTACTTTTTTTGTTTTAATCAAAATGAGTCGCCTAACCATTTACACATTTGGGATTTTATTTTGGTTGTTGTGAAACCTGAAATAGCAGTTCAGTATTATCTCCAGCAAGTGGCGCCAAAGAGTCATAGTGACTTCCTAATTGCAGCACGGTAAATAATTTGCATAACTGCTTACGCAAACATTGCATTTCTGCTTTGGGACCTATTTGAATGGCAAAAAACTTATTTTAAAAAAATATATTTCATTTTTTAAAACACTATTTTAAATGTATGCTAGTTGTGCGAACATAAACCAGACCTTTAATGAATCTACATTTTAAAATACTGGAGTGTGATGGACAAACAACTTGAGCTACAAAAAAGTCTTCTCTCATATTTTACTTTTATATTATTGCAATTGTTTGAAAAACCTTAACCCTATGACTGGCTAGGAAAAATTACCAAACTTAATTAACTCATCAAATTTGAAGATTTTACATGCTCTTCTTCTAAAGTCAGGTGCTTTAATTTTAGCAGGTTTTGCATGCCATAAAAATTTGTCCAAGCCATGATGGCATAACAAAGACTAGAAAGTCAAACAGATTTTGTGCAGATCTGTGAAATTTCAATTGAATAAAACAATGAAACAGCTTAGGAAGATTTGATGTACATTTATTCTTACCACGTGGAACATATAGTATAAAGATTTCATACTGAATAAATGATATTCCTTGAGCCAAAAAAAGGGGAAAGGGAGGAATTTACATGTTTGTCTTAGCTACATAGTCTGAAATACAAATATGCAGAATTCATGACTGGAGAAAATTTGTCAAATGTGTACTTCATCTAGTTTATTTCTTGTTTGTACCAGGATATAACAAGTTTGAGCCGTGTCTGCCATACTACAGAGCCGTGGAGGAGACCAGAGGAGTGGGTCTAATCAGAGGGGACCGGAGGTCGCTGGCAAACCGAAGAGTCTGCCTCCATCTCTCACGATAGCAAGTGTGAGAATAGTGACACAGACAGAGACAGAGAAAGAGGAAGGAAGTATAATGTACAACATTATATATACACCACAGCAAAGCTGTATCTGAAGTTGAAAACCAGTCCTAAGAGGTGATTTCTTTTCATAAGGGTATTTATACAATCAAGGGATAAGAGGAGGTAAGGGTGTTGTAGGTTCTTGATACTTTGGGGAAGAAAGCCATTTTCTGTTCAACACCAAACTAAAATGACCTCAGAACTCTAGCTCATCAGCTTCTGTGTGAAACATAGTTTACAGAATGCTTACACTCAAAAGAGCAGTACGGCACAGAAAATGTCCTACAATCTACTGCACACTGCACAGGCCTCCCCGGTGAAGGTGTTTACTGACAGCACGGTGTGCCGTCGGGCTGACTGGTGAGGATCCAACTACAGCATCTACAACCAGTAGGTCACTTGTCAGTCTGTTTCCCCTCAGTTACAGACTCACTGTGCCCCTCAAGGGGAGAGCTAGGGCACACTGCGTCTCCCAAACTCACTGTAAACGAGACAGCAACTTTGGTTACAGTTTTTGTTTTTCAGCTATTTATTTATTTAATCATTTATTTATCTTTATTAAAAAGAACTCTCACCCAAACCCTCCCCCGGCCTCCCCCCCAAGTGCAGAACAGTCTCCCAACAATGGCGCTCTCGGTTCTGTATCATCCGGTTGGCGTTCAGGCTTGCGAGCAGTGTCCCTTTGTGGGCATCTCTCTGGTTCGCAGTCCGCAGCAGC